GGTTTGACTTTCGTGAAAGTCTAAATTGGGTTGACCGGTGGTCAAAGAGTTAATGAGGAATCCTTAACACCTAAATCGTTTTGAAAAGAAAGAAAATAAGTTGACTGTTGGTCAACCGTCTAAAGAACCGAATGTAAAGTTGAATTGATTTTTATTAAAAGGATAAACATATGCGCGATCTTAATCATTGAATTATTATGTTTATTCTTGTGCTACAATGGAGTGCCACTCAGCATCAATGCTGAGCAGATAGCGTTGTTTTCCTTTTTGCTGTCCATAGGTGATCAGATAGATGAACCTAGAGCCGATCCCGGAGGGCATTGAGGAGGAGATGTACGATGGCGTGGCTGTCTCTTTAATCTGTAGTTATGCTTTATTTAATTAACTTTAATGCTTATTACGTTTTCGGGCAAGATCCCAAGTTGTTTGACTTTAAAAAGGCTTCTGCATTATTTTAAATTACTCCGATGGATTTTTATATGTATTGATAGAATGTTTGTTTTAAATTGTTTTGAAAATGTTGTATATTCGGATACCAATCCAGTGGCACACCGGTCCGCTGTCTCACGGGTTTGGGTTATGCAGGTTGGGGTGTTACACTACATGGATCTACAGTAATGTGTTTATCAGTATTCTCAAATCGACCTTGCTATAACTATCCTCAGACTTGAAGTTATTACATTCTCTGATATGTGGGGCAGTATGCTTTGATTCATAACTAATGCTATCTGAAATACTGGTAGACGTACAGTTATGCGTTGGGTATGCCGCTAAGCATATGTAGAGATGTGAATAACAGATACAGGATCTGTCCCTTCTACTGTATAGAAGTATAATGTCAATGGGCCCACCGAATAGTAGGACTTGGGAAAGTGCATGGCCATGCCCAGATATGTTGCTATCCAGAGACGATAAATATCTGATCCCTACCAGTCTACTTGAGATTCAGTAAGAGTTGATTTAACTATACAAGGATACACATCCCATGCCTTGTGTTAAATCATGACATTTAGGACAGAAGGATAATAGTTATATAACGTCTTGTGTCGTAGAAGGTATTGATGAGATGAACGTCTTTTTCATAATCTAGGGGTAATAATGTGTTGCTAGATACCACTTATTATCTATGGTATTAATTTATATTAATATCATTGCCAGTGTTATGGATATCTAAAGGGTCACACACTTAGGACTTGTAAGGGAGTAGTATACTACACTAGTGGGAGTAATATTAAATATATAGTTGTGATAATTATATATATATATATATATATATATATAATTTTATTTTCATCATTTTAATTATATGATAATTATTGATGTCAAAATAAAATGTAATGTATTTTAATGTGAGATGGCCGAAATTCTAAGGGGAAAAATACAAAACATATTTTGATATTCTACCTAATAATATATTTGATTAACATAATCAAATATTTGATTTGTAAAGAATACTTGTCTTGTGTTGGTTGGGAACATTGAATTAAGCCTAATTTGTTTTTGTCCCTAACAAATTCGTAGAAATTCCTTAATGTATTGTGTTATAAAATAAGAAAATCCCTCCCCACTTTACATACTTAAGTTTCGGCCATAGAGAGAGAAAGGGGAGAAAAATATTATTTTGTGTTCAAAGTTATTTTTCTAAAGTGTTAGAAATTTACACAAAATACTATAAAGAAATATTTATAAGATAAATATTTTTACTATATATTTATTACTTCCAAAGTAGTATTATTATAGTTTTTACTATCCTAAATTAAACGTGCTAGCACAAGTTTAATCTAGGACTCGGAGCAAGTTCGTGTGGATACGTTGGAGGCTTCATACGTTTGGCGCTACGTTCATCTCCTCAAAACCATCCCCGACCGTTCCTCCGTTCTCCGTTTTTCACCGTTAAGGTAAATTTCTTACTATAGCTAGTAATTTACGTAAGTTGTTCTTGGGTGGAATCGAGTTTTGGACTATAAATTTTTGTTTTCCGCTGCGTTATCCAAGCCTCGTTTCCTAACAGTGGTATCGGATCCGGCTTACGAAGTTACTAGTTTAGTAGTTTTTACCGTTATTGTTTTTGTAGATCAGTCAATAAATTTTGGAGACAAAAATTTATCCCATTATAAAATTTAATTAGGTGGCCATATTTAGATACTGGACCTAATATAATTTTGTTTAGTAATTTTCGGAATTACTGTTTGGGGTATTTTTATACTTCCTTTGTCCCCCATAGATCTTCTCAATACCCCTTTTTCTTTGTCCACACTAGATCTTCTCATTTCATCTTTTAACAATCAAAATACCACAACTACTCCCACTTACTTTATTTATTACACCTTACCCACCTTATTTAATATACTCCACTCATTTTCATTAAGGGTATTATTTGTTAGAATAAGTGCCCTTCACTAGAGGGGGGGTGAATAGTGAGGCACGAGAATGTTTATAAATTTTCGCGGAATAAAAATCGCAGGGATAAAGTAAAGAGCGGAATAAAAAAGAGTAAAGGGAGCACACCAAGATTTACCCTGGTTCACCACAACTTGTGGCTAATCCAGCCTCCCAAGAGACTCTCTCGAGCTACACTACTTACGTTAAGCTTACGGGTGCTTAACAAACCGTTACAACCTGAGAACTCGAGTCCCACGAGCCTCAATACACTTGCTCGGAGATACCGCACTCCAAGACTTCAACCCGAAGGAAAATACCTTTCCTTCGTACAACCAAGGGAAACAAGCTTCCCTAAACGTGTTTACAACACTAAGAACACTCAAGAACAAGACTCTCTTTAAGAGTAGATGTTGAGTAAACTATATACGCTCAAGAACAACTCAAACTTCACAAATTGGCTCTAGAAAGCTATGGAAAATAATGTTGTTTGGATGCAATGATAATATGAATAAAGTGAAGTGAATTTATGAGAAAAGCAGACCCAAACACCCCTTTTTATAGTGCCAAAA